TAGTGAGGCGAAGTCAGGTTTTATAAATTCCAAGTGTAATATTTTGTCAATTTACTATACAGCGATTTATCAGAGGTATCCTTATAATTGCTGCTTCATACTACTGAACCTGAAGTTGTTCGATGCCCATGCTTCACGCAGGAGAACGTTAAACTTCATCATACCGTATAGGATGAATTTGCTGTTATAAAGTGTGTGAAATATCTCAATACTTGTGGCATCACCTCTAGGGCAATAACCTACTCAAAATTGCAACGTGAAGAAGATAAATACTCTACATCGACAAACGCATGTCCAGTTTGTTTTTTGGGTGAAGCATCGTTCTTAATTGGATTCATAAGAGTTGAAGAGAAGGTGTAACAATTCTTAATTAAAATTAAAAAATGTTTCCAGTTGCAGATGGACTTGGTTTGACATTATCTAATGTTGAGGTAAATCTGAAATAATGACCCAAATCGTTTAATTTCAAATGAATAGAAGTGTGGCAAAAAAAATTTCAATCCTAAAAATTTTACAAGGAATAGTCTCACGCTGTCTGCAAGTTCTTATCTTTTCTTCTGTAATAGATAATCCGCAAGCATTAACCGAGTGAGTGAAGAGCCACACCTCCGGAAACTTTATCTGAAATAGAGAACTTTCATACTTGAGATCGGGGGGAGCCAATAGTCTTTTTAATCATTATAGTCATTGGAGAGGCTGCGCTGAACTTTTGCCGGTCATCGAAGAGGTTTCCGAGTTCAATCAGGAATTTGGAAATGCTAATTGAGTTGGATTCCAAATGGGATCTAATAAATCATGCCATGTTGTGACCTTATTTACCGCACTTGTTAGTGGCTCAAAGTTTTAAGACGATACTCATGAATAATTTTTCTCATCTACGTCGACACAAGACTATGCTTATACATTGATTTTGCGTACTCTATTTTAATAGTATTTTGTATAATAATCAGCACAAAGCATTGATTTATATGTCCAACTACAAGGCTTTGTGACGAGCAATTTATTGACACTAATGAGGGGTTAAATGCGAATGATGGAACGTGATCTTTTTCTTAATTTGATTGATCGCTAGGGGAGTGCTTTGATGAAGATCAAGCCCGATAATTCCACTGTGCTTTATGTTTTGGTGTCAATTCGGGCCTGAGCCCGACCAGCCCATTAAACTGGATTGCCCGGAGTTCACCTTAATTAAGATTAGGGGGAAACGAAATCGGTTGGGAGTTTGATGTCGCTTTTGTTGACTTGACTTTGAATGAATGCAGCATATTTATTTGGGGCGGTTGATTCTCATCACAAAATTTCCGCATTTACTTGGGGCAGTTGAGAAACATGATAATTGTGAACTTTGACAGGCTGAAGCGATGCTGCAAGGTAGCAACCTTACTGGCCAATTTTGCGGCAAACTGGCCCATGACTCTATGCATATTCAGCCAATCCTATGGCTTCCAAGTTCAATGACCTAACGAAAAGTCATTCAAAAAAATCTTCCCTTTATTAGTTCCTTAATGTCCTGTGGTGAAGGAGGAACAAAGGTCTTGATACTTGAGGCCCACGTGCATCTATACGAGAAGTCTTTCTTTTCCTTTAATGTGGTAGGAGCTAGGCAGTGGATCCCACCTGTTTTCTCTTCTTTATCCGAGCTTTGGAGTTAATGGAGGGAGCTCAATTTCGATTCAAATGGAAGGAGTCTCATTTAAAAGATATCTGCAACGAGACTTTGGGACTTTCGTTTTACAAAATTTAGTGGAGTATAATCAAAGCTACAGCTACCGGAAGACAAATTTGATTTTTCATTAGTCTCTACTCAAAGAATTTGATACTTCCCAAGAGTCCTTTTCGACTCATTGAGTTATCGTGATTTAATAACTTCAATCTTAAACTTTTTTTGTCTCACTCGGGTTTATGTCTGAAAAAACTTAAGAACTTATTAATTCCGGAAGGGAACATATTTACACCTCCGGATCTAGCGAGGTTTTATTTTCCTCATTGGCTTCCCCACCATGTGCTTCCTCCATGTTGTCCTCATCAAAATATCAATAAGGTTCTTAAGAGTTAGGCAGTGGATCCTACCTATTTTCTCTTCTTCCTCGAGCTTTTGAGCTAATGGAGAAAGCTCAATTTTGATTCAAATGGAAAAAGTCTGATTTAAAAAATCTTCAATGAATTTTTGGGCTTTCATTTACTAAAAAACATAAGTTTAGTGGAGTATAATCAAAGCTAAAGCCATCGGAGAACAAATTTGATCTTTCAATGGTCTCAATTCAAGGAATTTGATAATTTCCAAGAGTTTTTTTTACTCATCCAGTCATCCTGATTTAGTAACTTCAATCTTAAAATTTTTTTAGGATGCTCGGATCTATATCTGAAAAGACTCGAGAACTGATGAATTCCAGAATGGAACATTTTTGCACCTCTGGATCTAGCGAGATTTTACTCTCTCCTCCTTGGCTGCCCCCCACCATGTGCTTCCTCCGTGCTGTCCTTATCAAATATCAATAGGTCCATTTAATCAAACATCTGTACCCGATCGAAATCTGAAAGTCTTGCTGGTGTTGGCACATTCGCATCACTCATGCAGTTGCCGGCAACTTTGAGGAGGTCAGCTCATCAATCACCGGGAATGACCATGGCTAGGGGCATGGGGTTAGGGTTTTGGATGGGTGTGAGCAGAGTAGTGACAACGAGGGAAGATCAAGGATTTGGAGCGACGAAGAAATGTGCAAAGGTCAAAGAAGGATCTGGAAGGAGTTGTTGTGGAGTTACAAGAAGTTTACCTATAAAAGAAAAAAAAATAGAAGGAAAATAGAAAATTTCTAAACCTGGGAATGTTGAATATATTCCAATACCACTTGTCTTAAAGTTAAAATTGTAGCTCGTTTCCTTTGCATATTGAGTTTCAAATAAGCTCGTTTCATGGATTATCTCACTTGTAAGACTCTAAAAATTGCTAAGTCCATTTTTTTTTGGTCGAATAAGTTCAATTTTTTCAAAAATTTAAACTGTGACATGTTGTCTATAGTCACTTTGGACTATACTAAAGTCACATCAGATCCACATTAGCTCTATTTATTTGCCGTCGTTCATGCATGCCGCCACATCGAATCTTTACTGATCGTCTTAGACGAAACTGTGACAGAAGGTGCTTTCTGGTCACAGTACAAATTGGGGTATTAGTAATACGAAAATAAAATTGGAGAATCGATATCACACTGGGCAAAGTGTAGGCTTTTTAAAGAAATTTTTCCAAGCGACGTCAAACCCCAGGGTAGATTTTTAAGCTGGTCGTCATCCAAGCAAGCCACAACTTCGGATTTTCAACTGGCGGAACGTATTTTTTGATCACCATACAAGTTTGGATAATTGGTATTAAAGTGGATGAGGCCAACCCTCCGAGGAATTCACCTGATCTACCTGTGTATGGATTGGGTTTACATGTACCGGTGGTCGGGCAATACCTTCTCGATGAATAGGGAGCAAGTGAAGAGAGCCGTAATCCAGTCCATATACCGCGTTTGGCGGGGCAAAGTCCTCGGTTACCAAGAAACCGCATGGAAAGTTAGAACAGAGAGCCCATACCCTTTCCACGTGGCCAACCCCAAAATGATGGATTTTCAGCCCACGTGTACGTCCCAATTCAAATTGCCAATATTTTCAAAAAGATTAATATCACGAAAAATTTCAAACTATATACATATAATAAATTTATTTAAAATTAATTTTTTTAATCACTAAAAATTCAAAACTGATAAATTTATGACAAATTTACCTCAAACTAATTTTTTGACTACCAAAAACTCCAAACTGGTACATTTGTGACAAATTTATCATCCGTTAAATTGGATTAATACTACAAAAAATCACAAAGTACACATGTGACAAAGGAAGGGTAAAACCTCAAATTGATACGCTCATCAACTGTCATGTGTCCTTCAACTCATAAATTTAACGATAAAATTTAACGGAAACTAACGAAGGGTAAAATTATTATAGGTATATCAGTTTGGAGTTTTTAATAATCAAAAAATTAATTTAGAGTAAATTCATTATAAATGTATCAGTTTGGAGTGTTATTAACCTTTTCAGAACTTGTATTTTAGAATGAGAGCATAGGAAACAGACGAGGCGGCTTTCCCCAAAATAGCCCCGACTGGACCACCCCAACCTCGAAAGTGACCCTGTAATTATGTACAGGCAAAGATGCAAGCGTGTCTCGTGCAAATCTGCCGGGCATTTATCGAGACACGTGTTGTCAGAAAATCCGATGGAAGATGATATTTACAATTTGTGGTGAGCTAAGTGTGAAGTAACCACACAAAAGCATGGTTATTAAAATTCGAAAATATAAAAAGGACGAGAAGAATTTCTTTTAATATTTTATTTTAGTCACCGAAAGCAAGTCTATTGCCCCCCATCTCTTTCGAATTCCACCTAGTTTATTTACCCCGCAATTGCATTGTTCTTTTTTTCAATTGCTTTGTGATGGTGCCAGAGAAAAAGAGAAGCATCGGGTTGGGAAGAGGGCCACTTTTGGTGTTATAAGGCCTGCATTTGTCAACTTTGACAGGCTGCAAGGAATCATTCTTTTTTGACCACTTCGAATATTGAGCCCATTCTCGTTTCTAAGTTTACTGAACCACAGAGATCTCCATTTGTAACTCTGGCTTCCGAAAGGGTTTTAGATTTCCGATGTGCTGTACTGATTTTGCTGCTACACTGTTCAATTTTTTCTTCAAGAGAAGATCAAGAGAGATCAATGGAGGGGAGGCAAATGACGATCCAGCTGCAAACGATGAAACAGCGAGGGGCGCATCTTCTACTCACACTTCAACAGAAGGTCAAGGAATGGCTACTTCATCGGGATATGACTATGAAGTATTCTTAAGCTTCAGAGGACCAGATACTCGATCAGCTTTTACCGACTTCCTTTACACTAATCTGATAGCTGCAGGAATCCGTACATTTAAAGGACGACGAAGATCTCCGCATAGGGGAAGAGCAATTAAGCAGTCGAAGATCTTAATACCTATATTTTCGAAAGGTTATGCCTCTAGCGTATGGTGTCTCAAGGAGTTAGTCCAGATGGTCGAGTGCCAGAAAACTGGAAGACAAAAGATCATGCCCATTTTTTATGATGTGGCCCCTTCAGAGGTTCGATACCAAACTGGGGCTTATGCAGAGGCCTTTTGTTCACACAAAAAGAAGATGTGATATGGCGAAGAGACTATCGGAGGGTGGAAGGATGCTCTCACTGTAGCCGCAGGAATAAACGGATCGAACCTACAAAGCATGCCCAACAGGTGACTGCTTGTAGCATTCCATCTCATGCGCCTTGTATCGTTAAACTCGATGCATTTCAATTGGTTTCTTTTTTAGATTTGGGTTAGTCTTGTTGAAATTGAATTGTATGCAATTGCAGTTATGCCGCAAAATCACCCTAAATAATGGCACAATCCCAATTTTGTCCCATTTCATTTCCAGCAACATTATTTTTTGTCAGATTCAGGTCATTCATTAACCCGAAGTTCCACTGCTAATTCATCTAAATGGAATAAATCGTTGAAGAACACCTTTAGAATAGATCTGTAGTTTTCAATTTGGTCTTGCTAGAACATAGTTTGGTTCAACTCAGTTTTCTAACTCATTGCCATTTGATCTCCAACAAACACTAGGCGAGAAGGTGAGTTCGTGAAAGCATTCACGCAGATGGTTTTCAATGATTTGAGTAAGGCTTATCTGGGGGTATCAGATTGCTTGGTCAATGTCGACAACCACATGGATGCAATCATGGAAATGATATATGCTAGGACAAGTGAAACACGGATTATAGGAATCCATGGGATGGGCGGTATTGGAAAGACGACTATTTCCAAAATGATCTACAATCAACTTTCACGCGACTTTGAGAATTGTTGCTTTCTTCGGGGAATTCGAGAAACGTCAAAAGACAAAGGCATTGAATGCTTGCAGAATCAGCTCATCTCTGAAATCCTCAAAATGAAATGGATAGATATAAAAAACATAGATGTAGGGACTCAGACAATTAAAGAGAGGTTGTCTACTAAAAAAGTCCTCCTCCTTCTCGATGATGTGGCTCACAAGGAACATATGGATGCACTCATAGGTAAGTGTAATTGGTTTGGTACAGGGAGCAAACTTATTATTACTACTAGAAACAAAGATGTTCTCAAGGTTCCTGAAGTGGACGGCCTTTATGAGGTTAAAATCATGGATTCCGATCAATCTCTTCAACTTTTTAGCAAACATGCCTTCAGGAGAGATTCTCCTTTAGATGAGTATATCAACCAATCCAACAGGGCGATAGGCATTTGCGGAGGTTTGCCGCTAGCTCTTGAGGTCATAGGTTCACTTTTATCTCGCACTGAAAAGGAAAAGTGGGATGGCAAATTGAAGGAGTTGGAAAATGTTCCTCCTAAGGATGTCCAGAGTAAGCTAAAAATAAGTTATAATGCATTACGTGTTCGAGAAAAGCATATATTCCTTGATATCGCTTGTCTTTTCATTGGATATGACAAAGACATTGTGGTTCACTTCCGGGATAAATCAAAAAAATTTCCGGATGAGGCTATGGAAGTTTTGCAAAACATGTCTTTGATAAGTATTGAAAAGGACAATAAAGTGTGGATGCATGACCAACTCAGAGACCTTGGAAGAGAAATAGTTCGACAAGAAAGTAACATGAAAATAGAGAAGCAAAGCAGGGTGTGGGATCCTAAGGAAGGATTGGATTTGCTAAGGAGACATAAGGTAAAATTCCCCCAATATAAATTCCCAGTAGTTATGTATTTTTCATTTTTAAAAAAAAGCCAGTTACTTGTTGTGTTGTCTAGCACCATTAAGATTTCCTCAACCTATATTTTGCTCTTTTGAGATTATAGGAATGATAATACTGAACTCAACTGCTTAATATAGTGGACTTGAATTAATGTGTTTCCCTTCAACTGTTTTGTTTTTAAATTTTTCCTTTGGGCAGGGAAAAAAGAAAGTTGAAGCTCTTCGTCTCAAGTTGGACCACCAGCGGCAATATCGTTTTACTTATAAGGGCTTTGAGAGCCTATCAGATCTAAGGTTCCTTGAAGTGTACGGTTCGATGGAAAATTTTTGTGCAGAAGAGAGGCTTCTTTTGCACGAATCACCATCAAATGCTCTTCCAACTAATGAGAATTCAGATCTCCTTCCACAATTACGATGGTTTTCATGGCGTGATATTCCCCCAACATTTGACATTACAAATTTCTCCATGGAGGATGTGGTTATTCTTGACCTATCTGAGAGTAAAATTACGCACGATTGGAAGGGGTGGAGCCATATGGAGGTATGTTATATGCTAGATAACATTTATTATTCCATCTTATTAGATTAGTTATCTTTGCATGATTTTTCTTTTACAGGAGATGAAGATTTTAAAAGTTCTGAATTTGACCAATTGCCATTGCTTGGAGAGAACTCCCAATTTCTCTACTCTTGTAAATTTAGAACGTTTGATCCTACAAGGCTGTAGCAAATTAGTCGAAATCGATGGGTCCATTTGTCAGTTGAAACACTTAGGTTCCTTAGATGTAAGGGATTGTCGGTGTCTTTAGAGGCTGCTAGAAAAGCTTGGTGGACTAGAAGCTTTGAAAGAACTCCGGATTGATGAGACTAAGATTGAGCAAATCCCTAATTGTCGAGGAATGAGGAATTTAAGGATTTTCACTGCATCTAAATGTTTGTCTTTTATGCTTCCCCCCACAATCGGAGATCTTACAAGTCTTGAATACCTATCTCTGAAAAATTGCAAACAGTTGAAGTGGCTTCCAGATTCAATCGGGAATTTGAAATCGCTGATTGAGTTGGATATAAGCAAGACGAGCATAAGAGAACTACCTGATTCCATCGGAAACTTAGAAAATTTGAAAGTAGTGAAGATGACTTGCGATTCCACAAGCAAAATACCGAATTCCTTTTGGACGATTGAGAAGCTCGAAGAAATAGAAGTCACGCATCCACAAGTCACACATCCACGGCCTACGAAGGGTTTCCATGTGAAAATTGGCGATTGCATCCACAAATATCAATCCCTGAGGATATTGAAAATGCATGATGCTAGAATATACGTAGTACCGCAACTTTCAAAAAGTCTTGTCGATCTACAATTGGGAAGATTGTACATGAAGATGTTTCCAGATCTATCAGACCTAACTAATTTAAAGAGATTATGTCTAGAGTTTGCCCCACGTGATGATGATGGGCTTGTGGAAGAAGAGTCCATAAACATCAAAGAAATAAAAACAGAAGAAGAAGAAGAAGAGTCCATGCCATGGTGGATTGGGAAGTTGAGCAAACTGGAGATTCTGGCCCTCACCTCTGATTATGTGACCACTTTACCCACGGATATAACTCTCCTTCCTCGACTCCAATTCCTTACCATCAGCTGCCGTAATCTGCGTGACCTCCCGAGCCTTCCCTCCAGTTTATTATCCTTGGCTTTGGAGTCTGAATACGTGACCACCTTACCCATAGATCTGAGTCTCCTTCCTCGACTCCAAGAACTCGACTTCAAATGCCCTAAATTGCCTCACCTCCCGAGCCTTCCCTCCAGTTTATCATCATTAATTTTGTTCCATTGCTACTCACTTTGCTCGATGGAGGATCTATCGAATTTGAAGAGACTATCAGATCTTCAGATTATTCACGGTGCAATCTCAGAGATTCGGGGCCTTGATTGTTTGCAGAACCTACAAGAGTTGGAGCTTCGGGCCCTGCAACAGGTGGAGATATTACCTGATCTAAGTAATTTCAACAAACTAAGAAGTCTTCAAGTAGGCGATTGTGATAGTCTGCTTGAGATTCAAGGCCAACTACCACAGTCTTTGGAAGAATTGGAGATTTTTTCATGTGAATCTTTACAACAATTGCCTGATCTGTCTAGTTTGAAGGGACTGCAAAAGCTTGACATAATTGCATGTGGTAATCTGGTTGAAATTCAACTGGAATTACCACAATCTTTGAAAAAATTGCAGATTGATTCCTTTGGATATTTACAGAAGTTTCCTAATCTGTCAAGCATGAAGGAACTGCGAAAAGTTGTCATAAGTGGTTGTGATCGTCTGGTTGAAATTCAAGGCGAACTACCACAATCTTTGGAAGAATTGGGGATTTATTTATGTGAATCTTTAGAGAAGTTGCCTAATCTGTCTAGCTTGAAGGGACTGCAAAAGGTTACAATATCAGATTGCGGGAAATTAGATGTGGAGGCAATTTCTAGGCTCTGCTCGGAGAAATCAGTCAAATTTGTGGGAGAAGACGAGGGAGAAGACAACGAATGTGAATATGAAGACGACGAATAAGTGCTCGTTGCTCTTGAAAGCTTCTTGATCCTCAACCACAAATTGTTCCCTTGTGTTCAAACTATAAACAAATTGAGGTAACTTATTTCATCTGACAACCAATGTTTTCCCTTTTGTGCAATCAAATTCTTTCACGGATATGAACATAGAAGTTTCACATTCACTTTTTAATTACATTTTCACAAGCTGATGACCGAAAATCTGACAACCAATGTTTTCCTAGCTGGGGTTATGCATGTCAATTGCATCGTTTTTATTTGATAGGTAACAAATTATTAGAGATCCTTATCAATTTGCTGCTTCACATATTACTAAGTTGATAACCTCGCTTCGCATTGGAGATAACTTCGTTATGCCGTAATGATTAGATGGAATGTGTGCTAGAAGGTCATATAACTATGGTTCTCATCTTGGAACTTTACAGCATAATCAATTCATGCTTGCAACTGTGAAGAAGACAGACACTCTGTAATGATATGCTTATGTTCGGTTTATTTTCCTGGGAAAGGTGTGCTTCTTACTGGGATTTGCAAATGTTAGGAAGAAGTTATAAAATGAAGAAAGACGAATTTCACTTGGGTAGCAGAATCAATAGTTGGTGCAACCAAACTTCTATCTGTGACAGGAGAAGGGAACTATTTAGCTTCTCCAAGGTATCATAATTCATCTAATGGTTAAGGCTAAATTTTAGTAATGTCGATGCCGAGGACATATGATAAAGTCTCACTTGGGGTTAGAAATCATGTAAATGAAACTCATGTGTGATCTCCATTATTGCATACATTTTCTAGAAATGGTTATGCCTAGGAGATTATCTGTTATAGAAGCCCTTCCATTCACCTCAAGTTACACTAAGGATTCTTTTAGGTTTTAAGTTTGACAAGAAATGCTAAGGGAGACACCTCAAACAACCGACTTTTTGCCGATTTCTAGCTGAGAGGAATTTGAGTTTGAGTAACTTACATAAATCTTTATGCGCAGGGAGCTATGGCTAATTTGGAAGCTGTACAAATGAAGAACGAATAAAGGAAAATGAAGATGACATCTAATGTCGTCTAAATTCCCTTCATAATCTTGGGGTGATAAACTGTGCATTCACCTGTTTAGGGACAGAAACTTGGAGATTAGTGAGGGAAGTCATTGCCTATTGATGAAATCGTTGAATCTGTTGAACTCCATGCGAAGTTTCAATTGAATGGTTAACCCTTTTTTCAGAGAAATCATTAGAGCAGGGCGGAGGGATTCATTGTGAAATTTGGGCCATCGTACGTAATGTTATTCAAGGTAGTCTGACTCATGAGTGTGATAGGCACTCACAACACAGGAAACACGAATAATTGGAATTCATGGACCCGACAGTGTAGTAAAGTCGACTCTTGCCAAAATTATCTACAATTAGCTTTCACATGGTTTTGAGCATTGTTGCTTTCTTTCTAACATCAGCGATACTTTAGAACTCAAGGGCATTCAGTACTTGCAAAATCAACTCATTTCCTATGTCCTAAAAAGCAAATTGATAGAAATAAGTAATGTTGATGAAGGGATCAATACAATTAAAGATAGGCTATCTAGTAAAAGGGATCTATGACATTCAGGCATTATTGAATTCTTCAATGCTGAATGTCAAGCGTTAAAGGATCTCGAAATTCTGAGTGCTGCGCATTGTTCATCATTGAAGAAGATAATCTCTTCCATTGGTCATTTAACATCTCCATCAAGGCTATCTCTCAGAAGCACCGTAATTACATTTCTCCTGTCAGTTGGAGCTCTTACAAACCTTGAATACTTGTCTGTGAAAGAATGTAGATGTATATAGAGGCTTCCGGACTCAATTGGCAATCTGCAATCGCTACTTAGGTGTATATCTCCTACACGTGCATAAAGAGCTACCTGACTCAATGGGAAACATGAAAATTTTGGAAGTAGTGAGGATGAATAATTGTTCCATTGGTTTACTTTCCGGCTGTCGGCCGTGCGGGGGTTCCCTGGGTTACCAAAAAAAAAAAATAATAATTGTTCCATTGGAAAGATATCTAGTGCCTCATGGATGCTGTAAAAGCTTGAAGAAATAGATGCAGCACTCGGTGAAAACTTGCAACTGGAAATTCCTAATGATATTTCTAGACATTTATCTTTGAGGATCTTGAAATTGACATTGATTGAAACATGCCGAGCACCAAGGCTTCCTCGAAGTCTTGTCGGTTTACACATTGATACATTGATGACAACATTTTCAGATTTCTCAAATTTAACAAGTTTAAAGAAGTTGTATTTGGCCATTCGACTAGATACTTACCCTGTGGACACTTGTCAACTTGTGGAAGATCCAATGCCGTGGTGCATGATTTTGGGGAAAGTTATGTCAACTAACTCGCTAGTGTTGACTTTGTTCGATTCGCATGCTGGTTTTAATGGACAAACATCAAGATGGAAGGGAAAGTCTGACATGGACTTTTGCCTTAAAAGGGATTGCTGTGACCTCAATTCAGTTAGATCGGGTGGACCTTTCGATGTCAAAATGGTGCTTTTAGTTGCTAGATTTCAGGTACCTGTGAATTTAGAAAGATTGATCTCCCCCACCTCCCTAAGGAGCCGGGTAAAATGGAATGTTTGAGAGAACCCTTGATTGACGGGACATCAATAAAGCATATGCCTGTATGTCAAGGATTGAAGTGTCTACAACTTCTCCGTGCCTGCTACCCTTCCTCACTGACTATAAAACCTTCAATCAGTCACCTAACTTCCCTATCGAGGCTTTCTCTGCAAGGAGCTGGGATCATGGAGCTTCCCAACTCAATTGGATCCCTCGTAAGCCTTGAACACTAGTCTTTGAGAAACTGAAAATCAAAAGAGATGCTACCAGACTCAATTTGGAATTTGGAATCGCTTGCTGAGTTGGATATGTTGAACATGGACATAGAAAAACTGCCTGGTTCGTTCCGGAACATGAAGCATTTGAAAATACTGAAGATGAGCTTCTCTGCCATAAGAACAATATATAATGCAGTATGGAAGCTGGAAAAGCTAGAAGTTATAGATGCAGAGTTTAGCGAAGATTTGCCAATAGACTATGATATCTCAAGATATTCATCTAATAAGATATTGAAATTGACATGTGCTGAGATACACCAAGTACCCAGGCTCCCAGAAAATCTTCTGTCTGCATTTTCATGCCGAGTTGATGATTGCATTTCCGGTCTCTGTTGAGAGATTTGTCCTGGGGAAGCTGAAAACTCTTCACCCAGTTGACCCATCTAAGCTTGTGGAAGATGCTATCCCCGGGTGGATCGGTAGATTAAACAAACTGGAGTATTTAGAGTTGTGCTCTTCGATAATGACCACCTTATCTCCAGATATTGCGCAGCTCTCTCATCTCAGGAGACTTGAACTCTCTAGTGAATGTCTACGGTGCCTCCCAAGGCTTCCCTCAAGTTTACCGTCCATAAATATCAGAGATTGCCCGGTCAATTCATACATAGATAGACCTATCAAATTTGAGGAAACTATCAGATTTTTAATTGAGTATTGTACAGTAATAGAGATTCAAGGCCTTGAAAGTCTGGAGAATCTTAGAGCTTCAGGGCTGAACGAACTCAACTGATTGAACAGATTGGTTGAGCTGAGTGGCTTGAACAAACTAATGGCTTTTCATTTACATCATTGTGGTAATCTGGTTTACTGGAATCGTTGGAAAACTCGTGGATCTTCTCCGGCAATTCTATACTTAAGTTTCCTAATGTATCAATGTGGAAGAAACAAAAACTGATGGGCATACTTCAATATGTGTTGCTTGATCAAACTCAGCACGAACTTCTGCAAAAGATTAAAAAAAAAAAAAAATGGAGACCTGCTCTGTTGAATACTTTTTTTCTGATAAGAAGAGCTTCCCATTATGTATAGATATGAATTAAAAAGAGATCTATGTAAATTTTCTTTTCATGTGCACTTTGCATGTTGACTTGCGATATAGTTCTGTAACTGCATATACCCTTGTTCAGATCTTCTCTGTTTCATTTTGGTTTAGAGAAAGTTCCGATCCAGAAATAAAGCACCAATCATTCCCCCGGTTGCCATAACAATGAATCTGGTCATCCTATGATGTGATTTAATCATAATAATGAGTCTGGTAAAAAGGTCGTTCCTTTTCAACAACCAAATGAGCAAAAAATAGTTCATACACGAGAGTTGAACGAGGTTCTAAGCACACCATGGGTTAATCTAGTATTTGAATTGATAGAATGTGAGTGCAGATTAGTCTCACAACATATTCTATACTTATATGCAAACATTCTCATGTGTGAACTATCTACTTGAATTTATCTTGCATTTTAGTTTAGACACCACTCATATTCCTAATCCTGTCACACACTCAAGACAGATTCTTGAATAGAGTCCAAAACCGTATGAATTAAGTACATGGAAAAGAGAAACCCCCTGCACCGGCCCAGTTACCAAATGTGCTTGTTCTGACATTAGGTAATATTGAGCTAAATAAGAAAAAATGAACCAAATCGTTTAATTTCGAATGAACAGAAGTGTAGCAGTATCTCAACAGTCAGAAAAATTTCTATTGGTTCATGCATCCGGTGAAGGTTTCAACAATGAATTTTATTCGACTCCACTTTTTGTCCATCAACATTTCCTAGTCTTCAGCAATGTCGGGCACTGGTGGTGCCCTGCGTCTGATTACCAATGTCCAAAACTGTTATGTAATGGCTCTGATGATCCAACTGAGCGAACCTAAAAATAATTGAAAGAAGGGAAGATGAATAGGAAAACTACTCGCAGTGGAGGCTAATTGTTACAGAGCATCTCAAAACTACACATGACCAAATCTGAGCAAAAGCCTTGAGTCGGGTTCCGTGATCTACATATATTTGAATTTGGCAGAGGGCTTTACCATTGTGGGAGTTCACTCGTGAGGGTTGTTTGTGATCGGGGCAGCGATGCCATGATGCTTGGAGTGCAACGTCAACGCTGCGAAGCTACAGTATTCTCCTTGATTTAAGACAAACTAGGAAGAAGATATATGCGAGTGCGGATACAACAATGAAGGACATTTTGATAAGTTAACTATAAAAAGGGTGTTTTTAATCTAAGAAGGTGTAAATATAGCACCACCTTTTTGGTAAACTAATTGTAATAAACGTAGTATTTTTTTTTTATTTTTAAATTTATTTTTTCGGCATATTACTTACAAGTAGGCCTAGCACCTTGGTACTAATACATAACATTTATATGCTTGTCTGGTTAGGAGAAAAACTTATATCAGTTGATGATAATTGAAACTCTTCAGTAGATCAGCTCACGTAAATTAGTATCTATACTCTTTAGGAAACACGTCCTTCTTTTCCCCTAAATATCTTCAATTAATAATTTTGTAAATATTCAAATCAATGGACAAATCCGTAAATTAATAATTCTACTTTATCGATCGTGCATTTCAATTTTAAAGTCGAATCATTTCTATCTTATAAGTTATAAATAATCTTATAAAAACGTTAAAATCCTGTAAAAGTTTTATCTTTCCACATTGCTGTGTTCGTTTGGCGGAAAATGTTTTCCAGGAAAACATTTTCCGGGTTTTCTGGTGTTCGGGGGCGGAAAACATTTTCCCCCGGAAAATATTTTCCCCTCAATGAGGGAAAACATGACCAAATTGGCAGAAAATGATTTCCATTTCTGAAAAGCGGAAATCATTTTCCGCCAAATTCCTCCTTCCCCCCTCCGGTCGCCGCCCGCCACCGCCTGCCGCCGCCGGTCCGGCCACCCTCCGCGCGGCCGGCGGTCGCCGGCCTCCGCCGCCGCCCTGTCGCCGGCCTCCGCCGCCCGGCCGCCGGCCTCCGCCGCCGCGGCCGCCGGCCTCCGCCGCCCGCGGGCCGCCGGCCTCCGCCGCCGCCCGGCCGCCGCCGCTACCGCCGGCCTCCGCCGCCGCCGCCGCCGCCGCTCGCCGGCCGCCCGTCGCCCGCCACCGCCGCCTGCCCGTCGCCGGCAAAAAATATTTTTCGAAACTTTTTCATATTGGTCGCCGAACACCGGAAAATTATGTTTCGGAAAAATATTTTCCAGGAAAATGACTTCCGGGAAGGAAAATATTTTCCGCCAAACGAACGGAGCCTTACATGGTTACAATTCTTCATACTATTATGAATAATATCTTTCGATTCACCAGTAATTCAAATATTTTGTAATAAGTGTCACGCCCCGAACGCCAACGAGCTCGCGACATCCCCTGCTCCGGTCGAAATGTTGCGACGTCCCAGGAACGTCGCCGACCCAACCCAAACATCAGAGCCACATGCGGAAGCGAATAACAAAACCCCGGACAAATAATGACGACAACGGGGTAGAACAACAGAACAATCCAAGTAACCACATATTCATACAGCACCAAATATACAAA